CAACCGGTGTTGGAAACCGGTGCACTTGCTGCGCTTGAGCTGCAGCCTCCGGCAGTGCCTTGCAGATTGCGGGCAGCGGCCAACCTCCTCAAGATACTCGTTTTGCTCGAGTACCCTGGCAGGGCGGAGAAGGCGTCGGTGCTGGGCGAGGTACTCGTGGAGTTCGTCCAGCGCGTCGTAGAGCGCGCGGTCGGCGTCTGCCCAAGGATTGGCTGTTGCGAACAGTGTCCAAACTGTATCGCAGCCACTATCCCATCCAGTTCCGCATCGTCAGCTACTGCCAGGCCCGGGACACCCGGGAAAGCACCCTCCGACTTGCCACACAGTTTTCCGAGGTGTGCAACAACGCCATTGACGGCTTGGGCACACTCCTGTTCGGAGACGTGGTCTTGACCTGGAAACGGGTCGGACCATCTGGCAAGGCTGCAGCTTTAGCGCAGCTCGGGGCGTGCGCCATCGTGGACGACAACAACTCCGTCCTCAAGGAGCGCACCGTCAGGCTCGACGGAAATGTCGAGGGTGTTGCGCCAGTCGAGGGCGATGACCAGCGTGTCTCTGGCCTCTTGCTGAAGCGCACCGAATTGCGTCCCGGCAGGGACGGGGCCCTTGGCAGCTGCAGTGGGCGGCTGCTTGACCGGGAGCCGGTGGCGACTTGTACCTCACCTGTGGCGCAGGTGAGGGTGGCGCCCGCTTGTACGCTTTGGGCGTTGTCTCAGGCCGTCTTACCCCACTAATCGATTTTGGAACCGACGCTGCGCGTTGAGCGGCAGCCCTTGGCACTGGTGCTGGGGGTGCTGGTGGTGCTCTCAGCGGTGGTGGGGGGATGGCCTTCGACGCAGCGCGATCCGCAGCTGCCTGGTCGAGTACGCTTTGTGGGGGCGCCTTGACCTGGCTTTCCCGCTTGGCAAAGACAATCCGAGCGGTCTTTGTTGCGGGTGCTGTGGATGAGTCGCGCCCGGCAGGTGCAGGCCGCTTGATGCTGACCTGCTCAGCCTCGTACACCCTGTCCGGGTTGAAGGCCGCACGACCTGAGTACACGGCTTGCGCCCACCTTTCTGGAGGTGGCGACTTGCTCAGGTTGTAGTGCTCGGCCCTCCCGTGACCTCGCGGATTGGAAGAGGACTCTGCCCTCGGCGGATGATGCCGGTACGAGTCTGGAAGGTCGTACGGCTCGTCTGAGGGTACCCCCGGGTTGTCGGGTAGGGCAGTTGGCCGGCGCCAAGATCAGCGGCCGGCTGCTCAGGGATGCACGGGCCGGTCCTCGACCCCGCTGCGCTTGGAGCTGCAGCCCTGAGGGGAGTTCTGGATCTCGGGCGTCTGGTTGACGACTTCCACACCGGTGAAGGGTAGGCTGTCGCCTTGCCGGCGGTGTCCTCTTCCTCCTCGATGAGGACCTCCCCGCAGCAGTGTACCTGAAGGTCGGGACGGGCTCTCAGTTGTGGTTCTTGATGGAACCGCTGGCTGCAGCCTGATCTCCCGGCCCTGTTGCTGCCTGTGTCTGCGCTGCAGCCTTGATGGTGGACACAGTTGTGGTGGAGGATGGACTTGATGGGGCGCTTGGCTGTTGCTGTGGCTGAGCTGGTGTTGGAGCCTGCCCCGCCGCGCCTTGAGCTGCGGCCTGTGCCCGTTGGTGAATTGGGATTGGTTGGTGGCGGCCTCGGACGATGACGGCGTCGTAGAGGTTGGGGTAGATGTCTTGCAGGTGCCGATAGCTCTCTTCAGTGAAATCGGCCTGCCACGCCAGGAGGGAGCTCCGATGCAAGTCCGAAGCTTCCTCCCAACCTGGAACTCGCGCAGTAAAGCTTCCGACGATGGACCCACCCGCCCCTTTAGTCCTCTGGCCGAAAAGGCCGGAGCCGGGTCCATGCACGAAGTGCGCTGACTACCGGACTGAGGGGGCCTAATCCCAAAAAGCAGTTACGGCTGATAACCACTCAACAGGGAAAGAAACACAGCGAACCAGAAACCGGGACCCTTATTAACCCCAGTCCGGTAGGCGAGCGCAAACCCTGACAAACCCTTCCCATGCGCCTCCCCTTTGGAGAAAGGGGTCGGCGTTGTTCTTGTTCTTGCCCTTGTTTGTTGATGATAGTCAGTCGCCAATCATGTAGTTCTTTTTCTGGTATTGGGCAGCCGCTGTTGTGTGAGGTGAAGGGTGCTTTGCGTGGTCGTTTGTGGACTCTGATGGCATAGTCGCCATTGAGTTTCCAGTAGTCAGTACTTCCACCAAGGGTTTGTCGTAGTCCTTGGTCTGTGTGCGTCAGCGGTGGAATTTGTTCTTGTTGGTGTTTTGCTTGCTCTGAAGGTTGAACCACAGCAATGGAGGTTCGATTGCTTGTAGTCATTGCGTAGATGTCGTGTCCTGTAGGAATGTCGATCTTCTCAGCTCGTAGGTAGAAGAGTCCTGAATGTCTGATGAGGTGTGCCTTTTCCTTCTCAACCCACGATGAGGTGTGCCTTTCTGTGTGATGGTGCGGTGTCGTGGGTTGAAGTCGAGTCCAAATCCTCTATCAAGTAGTCTTGATGCACTGAGGATAGGATGCTTCACATCACAACCGTAGTAGGTTATCATGATTCTGAAATTGTCCTGCTTGTAGGGGACATACTCAATGCCATAGACAGGGATCTGCTTGTTGGTAACAGTCTAGAGTTGTGGAACTGATTCTTGACAGGGTCGTAGTGGTAGATCCGGTGCGTAGTCCTTTGGGCAAACATGTGTAAATGCTCCTGGGTCGATCAGCAGGCGGTGGTATGACTTGAAGTACATGATGTAGTGCTGATGTTCTTTTGTCTTTGCTTTTGTGTTGCTGCTACTATGTCGCAGCGCAGTTCTGTTGTGTCCTCTTGTAGGAATTGTTGGAAGCGATTGCTGTGGTCGTTCCATGATGTTGTCAGTGATGCTTTCTTTCCAAGTAGTGATTTGGGTTTGTGCTTGTGTGGTAGTGACTTTGCTGGTCTGATGTGTCCAATTGTGAGGTGTGACGCGTTGATGCCTCCAATGTAGTTTGCTGCATCTTCATAGCTGTTGTCATTCAAATCCTATTTGTTGTCGCAGTCGTACTCGTTCCAACTCCGTTTCATGCAGTTCACATCGTGTCCATGTCCTCTCCTTCGTAGTGCCAGTCCCAAGCGTCATTCAGATCCTCAGGTATGTTTTCATTGTTGTCCTGATCTGCTTGTTCTTGGTCTGGCGCATATAGTTCTTCTCCTTCTCCTTTGTGTCATACAGGGACTCTGCAGTCCTGTGCCCAGTGGCCAGGTTTGCCACACCTGTGGCATGCCATGTGCTTGTTGCTTCCTTTTCCTTTTGATTTGCTGTAGTTTCCTTGGCCTTTGTAGCCTTTGCTTGATCCATAGCCTTTGGATCCTGGGTAGCCTTTTCCTTAGTTGAATAATCACGACCCCTTGACCCCCAAAGAGGTACCCCAGAAGGGTGCGCATGTATGTGATGTTGGGTGATGTTGGAGGCCCCTTTGCTTTGTATGGACTTGTCGAATTTGGCTCAAGATGCCCATCAGATCAAAACCCTTGTCTTGTGATGATTATTATCACTACTGATGTTGGGTGATGGTTCACAGCATCCGGATCATCATCAAAACCGTGGCGCTCTTCTTTTTCATATACGTTTCAAGAACACGATGATCAAAATGATGATGATTATGAAGATGATGATGATGATGATGATGATGATGATGATGATGATGATGATGATGATGATGATGATGATGATGATGATGATGATGATGATGATGATGATGATGATGATGATGATCATGATGATCATGATGAACATGATGATGAAAATGATGATGGTGGTGAACATGATGATCATGATGAACATGATGATGAAATGATGATGGTGGTGAACATGATGATGAAAATGATGATGGTGGTGAGTGAGTGAGTGAGTGAGTGAGTGAGTGAGTGAGTGAGTGAGTGAGTGAGTGAGTGAGTGAGTGAGTGAGTGAGTGAGTGAGTGAGTGAGTGAGTGAGTGTGTGGGTGGGTGGGTGAGTGAGTGAGTGAGTGAGTGAGTGAGTGAGTGAGTGAGTGAGTGAGTGAGTGAGTGAGTGAGTGAGTGAGTGAGTGAGTGAGTGAGTGAGTGAGTGAGTGAGTGAGTGAGTGAGTGAGTGAGTGAGTGAGTGAGTGAGTGAGTGAGTGAGTGAGTGAGTGAGTGAGTGAGTGAGTGAGTGAGGGAGTGAGTGAGTGAGTGAGAGCGAGCGAGCGAGTGAGTGAGTGAGTGAGTGAGCGCGTGAGTGCGTGCGTGCGTGCGTGCGTGCGTGCATGAGTGAGTGAGTGAGTGAGTGAGTGAGTGAGCGAGCGGGTGCGTGAGTGAGTGAGTGAGTGAGTGAGTGAGTGAGTGAGTGAGTGAGTGGGTGAGTGAGTGAGTGAGTGAGTGAGTGAGAGTGAGAGTGAGAGTGAGAGTGAGAGTGAGAGTGAGAGTGAGAGTGTGAGTGTGAGTGTCAGTGTGAGTGAGAGTACGAGTGGGGCATTGTATTGGGTCTGGAAGTCAGTATTGGGCCGTGGGACCGCGCCATTGTCAAGGTCAGCAACACGGAGGACCGAAAGCTCAAGCTGACCACGGCTATTGATCAGGTTCTCGATGATGGGAAGATCAAGCCAGCCCACTGTGAAACCCTTAAGGGCCGTTTGCAATTTGCAGAGGCGCAGATTTGGGGAGTGAGAGTGAGAGTAAGAGTGAGAGTGAGAGTGAGAGAAGGGTGAGGGTGAGGGTGAGGGTGAGGGTGAGGGTGAGAGTGAGAGAGCGAGTGAGCAACAAAATGAGGGGATAGGGGATGAGTGAGAGGGTGAGTGAGCGGGCGTCGGTGTGGGCGTAGTTGCTCGTTTGGTGAAGGCGATAGATTATGATGTCAACTTGATCAACGTTTCTCGCATCTAAACACCTGGCCCAAACGCGCCCAGTGCCTTCTGGGAAGTCCAAAAAGCCAACCGCTGCGCTAGTGCGTCCACATGTAAAGCATCTCTGAGCTGAGCTGCCCGCCCCAGTCGCGAATCCGCCATCTTTGCACCACTCCGGACGGCAGGCGATGGACCACCTAGCGACCCGGAATAGAAACAAATCGGGGGGCCAGAGTCGTGGGCCTCTCCGGGCACAAACGACAAAGAGCCGCCGACGCCCGACGCCTAGCGTGGCCACAAGTTGCGAAGGAGCTACGCACTCCACGCCTGGTCGTAGAGCAAATCGCCAGATCTGCTCTTGGACCACGCCTGCGCCCGCTTCCGAAACGAGTGCCCGCTCGCTCCGAGCTCCGCGCTGCGCCTCTTCCCGCACTCGCAGGCGCCCAGGCACCTCGATCTCTCCCCACAGTGCCTGGCACAGCCCGAATTGCGCACGACGCCGAAAGGGACGATGCTGAAAGGAACTCAGCCTCGTAGCGAGTGTGCAGCTCTTCCCTGGCTGGGACCTTTCCGAAAGAAGGCTGCAAAAGGCTTTGATTTCGAGTTGAAAAAGACAGCTCCCTTGAAGCACGACGACAAGCCAGTGAAAACACTTTCTATATGTGGCCCAAACTGAAAAGCTAAATGCATGTGTCTTGGCCAAACAGTCCACTGGAATCAACTGGACGGCTTGTCAATGCCAGTCGCTTGGAAACTTAGAAGCAAGCCCCAAGGGCTTCCAGCTGCGCCACAGATTTGCAGCAGGTCCCCCCTACCGCGCCCTCGCAAACACGGCAAGCACAAGGCGCTTTGCGCACGCTGGCTTGCAGTCACACACACACGCCTGGCCCACCGGCAGGCCGATCACTCGGCCGAAACGATTTCCACAGAATATCCAAAAGCCTCGCGAACGGGCCGCTTCCTTCTCAGTGCCAAGAAGCCACCTGGCCGGCTCGAGGAGGAGTCACCGCCGGCTGCTCGGAAAGGAGCTCTAGCCTCACAGCCCCGGGCTGACGGGCTGGCGACACTCAGGCAAAGCAAAATTGTGAGTCTCAGGCGCAGCTACCGGGCCCGAATGCAATCGTGTCCACGCCTCCACATACCTATCAAACGCAGCACACCCTCCCCAACAGCAGTCAGCCGCGACAAAAAGCTGTAGCGAGGGAACCCTTTTTTTGCTGCCCTAAGCATCACGATTCATTGAGGGCCCCGTTGGGGCCTTGGGCCCTCATTGATTTTCTTGCGAGGGCCCCTGCATGGCAGAAGGGGCCATGACATAAAACTTTCATTGGCCGCCCAGGGCAAACCCAGCCTCAGAACCGCACGAAACCTGCACATACCTGCACCCTCCAAATTTGACAGAAAATTCCGTACATGTCCAAACAAATGGTGCATGAACACTTTTGAGGAAATTTGACTGAAATCGCCATTAGCAGGCTGCGAGCGTTTGTGGTGTTCCTGGATGAACTTAGATTAGTTAACGCAGCTTGCAATTTGTGTGGCCCGTCATGCTTCATTCCGCGACAGGTCATTCGTCTCCATTTGCTGCTGCGCAACGTGTGACAGCTTTCTTGCCGCTTTTGCAGGTTTGCAGTTCTCTCAGCCAAAATGCTTAAAAACTGAAAACGCTCGGACATCGGAAATCGGCAGGACAAGTACGGAATTCTGCGGAAGAAGTACTGACATCACAAACATCAGAGGAACATTTGCTTGGGGAATGTGCACCTTTTCACACATTCAACTGGGTTTTTCCGGCCCATGAGCATGACCTTCTCCAGCACCGGAGCGGGCGCTGAACGTGCAGAAGAAAGTGGTTGAATGCTCCCGCGTCTTGTATTGTAGCCCGCAAGACAAACACAGTTGTTAATCTTCACGGAGATGCACAGTCGCAACAAAAGTGCCCTTGGTTGGTCCATGAATGCAGCTGCATTCAGACTCGCTCCGAAGAGCGGGGTTTAATTATTTTTCCCGCTCCCCGTGCTGCTCAAACTACCCTGCTTCTTTGACTCCACGTTTGCACCAAGCACTGCAGCACCCTGAAAGCCCCAAACCCCAATCTCTTACGTCTCTGAAGCCGGTGCGTCAAAAGCAAACAGGTGTCTCCTCCGACGGAGGTATCCAACGGCTATCCGCCCGGGTGGGCCCTCATGGGAACCAGCTGTTTTGAGGGGCCGACAGATTGTCTGACGGGGTATCCGACGGCTATCCGACGGCTATCCGACGGCTGTCCGACGGCTATCCGACGCCCCAGTCCAACAGGGCAGCCCTTGAACAGAACCGGTTTCCATGGTGTGTCCCTTCCGTACGGCCGCGGTTGAACATCAGAAATGCCCAACAAGAATCAGGTGAAACCATAGGATTCCAGCTTCTCCTGACGCTTTGATCAAGCACGCTCACCTTGGCCTTTTGTCCTCCCAATCCAATCGGGGGGCGTTCAGCTGCCGAGCAGGAGCTGCAGGAGTGAATTTCTTGGTCCGCCAGCATATTGTTTAGTGCCCTTCAATGAGGGGCACTTGACGTATTTTTTGAACCGAGGGCACTTTTGGCCGTGTCGGTGGTCTTTAAGTGGCCCTTTGATTCGTTGACTGCGTGCCCTTTTTGGCATTGATAGGGGTTGCATCCTGTAGAAATCGAACAGCTGCCCGTGTCGAAGTGTGACAGCTGCTACACGTGACGGGGGCCAACCCGGAATGGCCCGGCGTTTTGAGGGTCAAAGCGTGTCACTTGAGTGTCGGTGGGGGCGCGAACCGATGTCACTGACATTATAAGTCGCCTGCACTAGTGTCGGCCCCTGGTGAGTGCCATTCGCGTGTTGCTGCAGCTCGATTTGCCACTCGCATTCATGTGTCGCTGCGGCTCGATTTGCCCGGACTGGGAAGGGATCTGCTGGGGAGGAGTGTCTAAGTGCCCTTTAAATGGCTTAAGTGACCTCTTGATTCAGGACAGCGACCTTATTCTCAAAATGGATCATATAAGCACCAAAAGCATGAATCGAGGGCACTGAAAAGAAGCTCGCGAATGATTTTACAGCCTTGCGCGTGTGACCCGTCAAGCGTGAGACCCCCCATCGGACCCTCGACTCTTTTCCCCGAGGGCCCCTGTACGTGCTGCGAAGGGCCGAAGCACGGGAATTCTGCATTGGAGGGCCTGAAGATGCAGAAAAGGGGCCACCTGAGAGACTCTGTCCTCTTGGTCACAACCCTTCTGGTACGCTTTGCTTCAAGAAGTAGATTCAATGCAACAGTTCATCATGCCCTTGCACCGGTGGGCTCAAAGCATTGAGATTTTCCACCGGCGCCCCGACCTCTCGCAAAGGCTCTCAAGAATCGATTCTGGGAATGCTGGCCTTCCTCCGCACAATGCAGTTTTGTCCACGGCAGTCGGTCGTCGAGCGGAATGTTGCTTCCCGTCGCTATCACTTTGGAGGGCGCATCCTCTGCGTCGAGCGCCACGGGCCCAAAGCGACGGTGAGTTTCCAAAGACTTCTGTCACTTCTGTCAGCCAGGCACCGCTGCCATTGCGACACATTCCAGAGAAACAAGCTCCGTTTCCCCCACAAAAACAGGAGCCTGCTATATGGGGACATTTCTACTGCGAATGCAATGCAAGTGGGTCAGCCAACAGGCTACGCGCCGCAACCTTCAGCGGTCCGTAAGACAGCAAACCAGGACCCTTCGGACCGGTGCGCGCGATCAAACCCTGCTTTTGAACCAGGGCACATAGTACTTGAGCCAAACGGGAATTGCCGTCGGCAAATTGAAGCACAATCACGCAGTCATGTTGCCTCGTGAAGTGTGTAGTGTGTACAGAAGAGGCGCCTCTTTGGGGCCCGGGTCGTGGTTATTCAACTCCCCCTCCCCGAGTTCACGAAGACGCCTTGCGTAAAAACCGCGCGCCCAAACCTTGCAGCTTTTCACCGACTGCGGGTTTCTGTTTGACCGACAGGCTGGGAACCTACAACGCCCAGCAACCCACCCAAACCATCATGCCTCAGCGCTTCACCCCATCATCCTGCACAGGACCGTGAGACACTCGTCCGCGGGATCACAGAGGCAGAAAGGCATCAGGGAAGACCAACACTTCGGCCTTCCACCTCATAGTCGGATCGCTGGGGTGGAGCATCCAATCACAACGCAAGCCAGCGCCCTGGCGAAGTAGGCACCTTCATGCCGCGATGGTCTATGGGTGCTCCTGAAGACTGGCATGTTGTCTGCGGCCTACGACCCAAACTTTCAGGCGGCCAAGAAGGCGGCCAAGCAGGGCAACACCGCTCTCCGACGAGTCCAACGTCACATGGAGGGTGTCAACTGAAGAAGTGTTTCTACCCGTGCAAAGTGTACAGTCAGTTGACCTCCACACCCGCTGCCTCATCATCTCAAGGAGAGGGGTCCTTTTCTCACACAAGTCCCGCTCGCATGAGCATTCGCATGGCATGGACGGGTCACTGAGACCCTGGTGAGGAAAACAGACCCGCGGTCAGGCTGCGCCTTTGGGTCCGTTGCAGATTGCAGGGTAGTTATCAACTTGGGGTTGTGAATGCCAAAGCGCCCTCTTATTTCAAAGAGCCCTTATGCAAAGTGCACAGTTTTGAAATAACGGATGAAGCGCTTTGTTTCGCGAAGCAGCACGCTGAGGGAGGAAAGGGCCACAGGGGCCAAGGGGTGGCAGGGTGAGAGGGCACTCATCTCGAAAGCGCCCTCGAGGATGACTCAGCTCTGCCATCACCTTTCGCGTGAGGCGAGTTGCCCTTTGATTGCCCCAGCCGCATGGGAATTTTATGTGGCATGTCAGCGCCTCTTTGTTGAACTTCACCTGCATCGACTCATCGACTCATTTCCGCAACTTTCGATGTACAGCTCTCTGCCTGTGTGCACAACACTCTCCCCGTGGGAGGCTGGAAGTCCACCAGCCGGTGTCGCACCTGCTCCAATTCGCCGCTCGGCTCAAATTCGCCTCTCTCTTTCAGCTCCGAGAGCTCTTCCGGGCTTCCGGGCGCTCATCTTGCGGTCCATGACGGCGATCCCCGCGCAGGACTCAGAAAGGTCAAGACTTGAGAGAAACAGAAGAAATGAGGAAAATGGACAAGACGGAAGATCGGCGCCTTATCCAGTCGAACCTCCACGAAGACTCCGGACGGGGCCTGGAGCAAAAAGATACCAGACAAAGAAAATGACGAAGGAACGCAAGACGAGCGACAAAAACTGTGTCTTTTCGACAAGCATTGGTAAAGAAGGAAAAGGCGGAGGAACAGACGAAGAAGGAGAAACACGCCTTCAACGAAACGAAACCAAAACACACCGTTAACAGAAACAAGTGAAACGAAAAGAGACACGTGGTGTTTGACGAAGCGCGAAAATGCCCGAAACTCCTCAACTCGTCCGACTCATCTCTTTTTCACGAATTAAAGTCAAAGCTCGGAGCGCTGAGCGCTCAAGGAAACTCAAGCAGCGCCGGTGAACGTGTAACGCAAAGCAAAATGCTCGCTAAGCCAATCGGAGTCCCAGCGCTGGGTGCTGAGTGCATCGAGGTCTCCAGCCGCGAAGTCAAATCTTGCCACGTAAAGCTTCAAGCATGAAAAGGATGAAAGGGAGGACCGGAGAAGCGCAACCGGTGAAACGAAGGAGCTTCACGCCCCCACAAGCTGATTGGCGCGCCACGACCCTCTGGGGGTAGAACGTGTAGAACGCCCGGAACAGAACGGACCCTTCCCTTTGCTTCCCTTTGACCCTTTGGGCCAGGGGTCACCAAAGAGTCACGACGGCTGAGAGAGGGCCATGCCCTTCGTTCGCTTCGTTCCCGTGGCTGTCGCTTCGCCCTGAGATCTAAGAGACTTGAAGTTCAGTGCAGCGGCCAATCGTTTCTATCGCATGAACTCAGGGCAAGCCCATCGTGGTGTCACATGTCTCCCAAATCAGAGATGTATGCTCCTGCATGGCTGCACGGCTGCACGGCTTCACAGAAGCCATCTAAACGGCTCGCACACATTGGCTCCTGGGTGAGGCACAAAGTCGCTCACGTCGTCGCTTGCAGCCTGCAGGGCTGCAAGGGAATGCAAGGCTCCACGTGAAATGTCGAAACAATGGCAATGGTGCCTAAGTGTGCAACACTCAACATGTTTCATAGTGACATTGGGACGCTACACCATCCGTTCAATGGCAAGCCTCGGGATGAGGTATGAACTCGCTGGAGGTGTCACTAACATCCTGATGCACCGTTCGAGCGCTTTCCGAATTGCCGAATCCGCCGAATCCATGCCTCACGGGAGATCACCTCGGCACCTGGCAGCTCAAAATTCTCGAGCTCCGGACATCTCGCCCGCCGCCCGCCTAGGGGCAGCTCCGAGACGTCCGTCGCTTCTCCAGTGCCTAGCAAACAGGGAAAAGAACAGGTTCAAGCTTTGGAACAAGAAGCATGTAGTCTACAAAAAAAAACACGCTGGGCTTCTTAAGCATGGGACGCACCAAACGCTGAGTCACGGACAGGTAGTCGAGACCGCCGCCGAGCCTCGGAAGAGGTCAATGGGATCGCTCCGGCCTCAGGCTTCGGAGTACCGAATTCGAGTTCAACAGAAATCAGAGCACGTGAACTCCGAAGCGTCAAGTTCAGGACGACGGCAAAGCCGCAGACAGAAAAGCTGTGCGCCCAAAGCCAAAGACAAAGAACATCAGAGCGGTGCACCCGCAGCATGCGAGCTGCTGCGAGCTTGTGCGCGCAATCCGTGGCTCCGCGCTTTTCATTCGTCGGCAAATAATTTCCTCAGGGTGAAGCACAGGTGAACTGAGAGCCAAGTGCAAGCGAATTGTGATTTCTGTGACAGTCAGCCACATCAGATCTGATCAAAACTTCTGGGGAGTTGTTGCCCTCGAGACCTGAAAAACACACGAAATACTGACCAATGATACTGACCAATGCCTTGCAATGCGGTGTGCAATGCGGTGTACAATGCCTTTTCTCCATTGAAGATGATTCGCTACAACATAATATGTGTCATGCAATCCTAGATCCACGGCAGCATTTCCTAGAACTATTCCCGTTGACCCACCCATAGGAAACATTGATAAAAAGAGAAGAAGACAGAAGTAGTTGTAAGGTGTAATAGAGATCAATTGGAGAGATATGCAAAAAGCCATTGAATATTTGTGAACCAGCTGGTAAAGATATTAAGACTGTAAGTTTCACTTTATAAACCTACAGTATGCATGTGATGTCCCCAAACAAGACTTCCAAGAAGAGAAATTGATGACATGGCAAAGATCAGTGTTTTTGCGTAGCAAAGATTGGTCACTGTAAAATCGCAGAAATTATTCTTAAAATCATCACAAATGCAGAAAGTATTAAGATGACAACTTCTGGATGTCCAAAAACCCATGATAAAATATAGTATCTCCTTCAAATATTGGATCGTTCAGAAGTGAAGATCTCCCGCCATTTAAATGAAGTGCACCAGATAAGATAGGAAATGTTAATAAAAGCATGAAGGCTGCAATCAAGAAAGAGAAAGGACACACTGGATAGTCTTTATTAGAAGGTCGTTGTCCAAAAGTTGAGAGACGCAAGACATGAAGATGTACCAGAGTTAATAATCCTAAACTGAGATTTCCTGCACTTGAAGGTTATAAAGTCAGAAAAGAAGTGGATAATGGTGGATACAATGTCCATCCTGTACCACCTCTAGATTCTGAAATTAAAGAAATAATTAGGAACAAAAACATAAGAAAGCCATGCAATGCTATGCTTATATCATAGCAGTTATGGTTTTCTGAAAGTATATGTCTATGTCCTGATGAATATAATTCTACTCTTATAAGGACTGGTATTGATGTACCGCAAATTCCAAAGATGAATTCACGTAATAAACAATAGATTCCTAAGTTTTTCCGATTAGAATGTTTAACTAGTGAATGAAATAATATAGTATGCAAACAAATATAAGTCTAGCCATCTGACAGTTCCTTTGTCTCACGCCCAAGACATGTGAATGGGTTCGCGAGAATCTTTTACGCCGGCCAGGATTTCTACGGCATAGCGGCCATTACCCTGATGACTAGACAGGAGTGAAATGGTCATTGATTTCCAGGGATTTCCCACTGACAGTCTCGTCCCAATTGTTGACAGGATATAATGGTATGTGGGACGAAGGTGGACAGGATCTCTTGACTCACTCTCTCTTGTCTCACTTTCTCCGTCCAATTCTCAGATCTTAGTGTGGGGACGGCGTGAGACTATGAAAGAGTTGTAAAGAGATAAGAGACTCTGAGATGGAATAAGATAGATTAGGCGGTTAAGAGAAGCCTGGCATCACCTCTTCTCCAACAAGTCTCGGAATGTGCACGCGCAGAGCAGCGTGAACAAGGCGAGCACCACTAACACAAGCAACATGAGCCACAAACAACATGATCAATCAAGTGGCTTGCTGTGATCAAGAGCATGCCCACTCCGAAATTCTCACGGCATTCTATTCCAGGAATGATAGTCCATAACCCATGAGCCCTCATCACAACTATTTTCCAAACCCAACATGTGGCTGGATCAATGGTACCCAAAATGGCCATGAAATTCGATGCGTGAAAGTTCCGGTCGCCTGCCTCCTTGTAAGCTTTCTGCAGCTTCATGCGCTGCACCGCGCCTGAAGCGTGTGCGACCCCTTCGCGCCTTCGCCTCCGACGTGCTGCTTGGCGACTCTCGAAACCCAGCTCTTCCAGTACGCGCAGAAAGTCGTTGCTCGAGGTGTCTGGTAGATCATGCAGCTCCAGACCTGCCCATTTTTTCTCTGTTCACGTAAAAGCAGGTCACGATTCGATCCCGATTTTTTCCTCGTATCCCAGGATCCCGAAAGCGGCACGCCTTCTGTGCTGAGACGCTCCCGAAGGCTCTGCAAAAGCACGGCGCGCTCGCGCTGCAAGCACTGCAAGTCCTGACTGCAGTAACAATCGCACACATTGAGCTCACTGCTTTCCATTCGGCGCTTCATGTGGCGGCACGGACACCACCCCCAAGACTTCGCAGTCTCCGCAGTCGGCTCGTGTCCTTTACTTCTCGTTCCGGGAGCACAAAGTCATCCTGGCCAACTCCGAAAGTCTCAAGCGTTTCAACATGGTGCAAAATGAAACGCGGGCGAAACCAAACGTGGACCGACGGGAGCTTGCCAAGAAACTGAAAAACGGGTTGCACCCGCACAGGCCTGCGCGTCACAGCGACACGAACTCGCCTCGGGAGCAAGACATCGGCAAATCCTCCATGTGTCCTCTCTCTCTCTCTCTCGTGTGCCCTCAACACGGATATCCGAGAGCATCTTGCAGCTGAGCCACTGTGCCGCAGAGGCCCGAAATCCACATGGTTTGAGCTTACGTGCCAAAAGCATTGGACCAAGCCGTTGTGACACTTCCATATTCAAGCGCGCAAGTAAGCGGCATCAAATCAAAACCTGGCCTGAATTCGAAGCGGGCCTGGCACGTCAGAACTTGACAGTGGGCATCCTTGCATATCTTGCATTTCTTGCATATCTTGCATATCCTCCTTGCACCTTTTCGCAGTTTGCATGTTGCGCTTTGCTCTCCTTCAGACAGCTCGGGCTCCTCTACTGTCTTGCCCACAGGCTCCTGCCAAGCCGTCAAGCCGTCAAGCCGTCAAGCCGTCAAGCCGTCAAGCCGTCAAGCCGTCAAGCTGATGCCAAGCCTCTCTGCGTGTCAACGCCCATGCTCCAACGTAGGTCTCATTGGAAGCCACCTTGAAACTTTGGCTCAACTTTGGCTCCCGAGTTCTGTGCCACTGTGCCAGGTCGGTGCCCGCAACACGAGGCACGCGCGGGCTCAGGTCTGGGAGGACATACGCGCACCTGAGTTCAATAGAGCGAACCGCAGAGCGGAGTTAGAGAATGCGGAAAAGGAACGGAGTGAGATCAATGCAAATTGTGCGCTTTGGGTGCCAGACTGCCGGCCCAATGCCGTGGCCAGCGCGGACCAATGCGACAGCTGCAGCAAAGAGATCTTCCTGAGACGCAAACCCGAAAAGAGGTAAACCTTTCCGCTTCAAATCCGAATCAATTTTGTGACATAAGAGAGTGAACGAGAGAAAAGAGAGAGAGAGAGAAGGAGAAAAACAAAAAAACATGGGGTAGATAATCTGGGAGATTAAAAGCATGCATCTGAATCTGGTTGGCTATCGCAGCGTGTTTTACCGCATCCAACTTCACCTGGCACAAACTGCGACGAAGATGCGTGTAAATTGTGAAACACTAAAGACTTTGTGGCTCTGGCTTGGACTTGGCATCAGGCTCCCTGTTCGAGAACCCGATGCGCTACTAAGGGGAGCAGCGAACACGGGCACAGCGAGCGCTGATTTTCTCAGCGCTCCCCTGTGCCGTGAGTTTTCATTGCTCCTACGAGCGAAAAGAATTGTGTGGTTCGTAAGGCTGATGTTCTCAGCCTCACTACCAAATGCACCTTGCTCTTCCAAGTTCCCAACATGCTGGCTAGCAGTCGGTAGAGGATTCAAGGTGTGAAGCATGTGGAACTTCCCTGAGTGCCGAAGACTCAGTCACTCTGTGGCAAAAGGCCTTGTAAACTTGCCAACTGCCAGGTCCATTCTGCCTCCAAAAAGTCAACAAAACTTTGAAAAGCGGCAATGGCAGTGAATTGCAGTGAACCGCAGTGAACTGCCATGGATTGAATTGATGCGAGGTGCCTTGCGTCCGCTAAGGCTTAAAATGACCCATGCTCTCGAGCGTGCCCAACGAATCGCGGCTCAGATCTCACGGCACCGAGTCGGAGCTGGTAGCCACTGAGTCACTTTAGTCTGCAACCTCCGAGGCAAAGTCGCTGCATGACCGCCGATTGGAGGAGGGCGAAAGGCTGGTGCACTTGGTGGAGTCGTCGTCGTCACTGAGCTTGTATCCAAGGTGTGACTTGGCAAAACTCGAAAGCAGGCAGCTCCGCTCGTCCGCGCACTGCATGGCTGCCTGAGAGTCGGCATTGAAGATGCCGCATTGACAAAACACAAGTAATCACAACACAAAGCAAGGACGCATACGCACATGGAGTCATGGAGTCTGAGCCTGGCACGAGCAAGGGAAGCGCAGCTTCCTGGGGCAGTTGAGACATCGGCACCTTGGCGCCAGCCCGGGCAATTGCGGCCCTGGATGCGGGGCGATCACGAGCCCAAAGGGCAAGGATCTGCGCGGCCTCTGCCGCCTTCTTGCTTGAAGACGTCGCCTCCTTCATGAGGCAGGCGACGGACTCGGGCGACTCAGACTCGGGCGACTCGGGCGACTCGGGCGACTCCCAGTCAAAGTCTGAGTCTGAATCACCGGCTTCTCCAGCCAGGGCTCCTTGCAGGCGTCCCACAAACTTGTGGAACCTGATCCGGTCCTGCCCCAGCATGTCCCGAAAGACCAACACGGTCGCCTCCTCATCTTTCAAGATCCTCACCGCTATGTGAAGGACCACGAAGTCAATCATGACGAGGGCTTCTATGAGAGACTGAGTCTGACAAAGGAGAACGCTTGGCTGCCCTCTCAGGAACAGCTTGATCTCTTCAAACACTTGTGATGACGCTTTCACGGATCTCCGCAGGACATCGCCAGGAGATGGAACCTGGCGTCTCGACGTCTCGACGTCTCCGCACTCACACCGCAACAAGACTTATGCACTCACTCACTCCATGATTCTGAATATAAACATTGCCAACACTGAAAGGCCTGCAGCGCCATCGCACGTGGGGCACGTGTGGCACGTGTGGCACTCTGGCCAACTCTTTGTGCCAAAGGCTGCGGGAGGAGGTTGAACGCTGCGGGAAAGCCTCACGGACTTGAGTCAAAAGTTCGAAGTTCGAGCGGTCAGGTCGGAAACGGACAGATCAGCAAACAACAACAACAACAACAACAACAACAACAACAACAACAACAACAACAACAACAACAACAACAACAACAACAACAACAACAACAACAACAACAACAACAACAACAACAACAACAACAACAACAACAACAACAACAACAACAACAACAACAACAACAACAACAACCAACAACCAACAACCACAACAACAACAACAACAACAACAACAACAACAACAACAACAACAACAACAACAACAACAACAACAACAACAACAACAACAACAACAACAACAACAACAACAACAACAACAACAACAACAACAACAACAACAACAACAACAACAACAACAACAACAACAACAACAACAACAACAACAACAACAACAACAACAACAACAACAACAACAACAACAACAACAACAACAACAACAACAACAACAACAACAACAACAACAACAACAACAACAACAACAACAACAACAACAACAACAACAACAACAACAACAACAACAACAACAACAACAACAACAACAACAACAACAACAACAACAACAACAACAACAAAAACAAAACAACAACAACAACAACAACAACAACAACAACAACAACAACAACAACAACAACAACAACAACAACAACAACAACAACAACCAACAACCAACAACCAACAACCAACAACCAACAACAACAACCAACAACCAACAACCAACAACCAACAACCAACAACCAACAACCAACAACCAACAACCAAACAACCAACAACCAACAACCAACAACCAACAACCAACAACCAACAACCAACAACCAACAACCAACAACCAACAACCAACAACCAACAACAACAACCAACGGATCAGGAAAGGCCTCCCGGACTAGCAGCAGGAAAGCCGCTTCGGCCGCCGGCAGCGCACGCCTCAGAAGCGAAATGAACTGGACAGGTAGCGCTAGATAAAACAATTCTTCTCAAACAGACGAGAAGAGAAGAGAAGCAAACGTGCAGAAAAGAAAAGAAGAGACAAGACAAGAGAAGATAAGGAAAGAAAAGAGAAGAAAACAAAGAGGAAAAAGAAGAAAAGAAAAGGAAAGGAAAGGAAAGGAAAAGGAAAGAGAAGAGAAACCAAAAGAAGGCAAGAACAGAAAAGAAAAGACAAGAGACAAGACAAGACAAAAAAAAACAAGAGAGAGAAGAAGCCAGAAGAGAAAAGCAGACAAGAGAAGAGAAGAAAAGAGAAGAACAAAGAAGTTAGGGAGAGAGAAGCAAAAAAGAAGAACAGAGAATATTGGAGAAGAAAAACCAAAGAGCGAAGACAAGACCAAAAAAACAAAGAAGAGAACAGAGAAGACAAGACAAGAAGAGTGAAGATAAGAATAGAGAAGATTGGAGAAGACAAAGAAAAAGCGAGACAAGCCAAGTGAAGAGAAAAAGGAACAGAGAAGAACAGAGAAGAAAAGAGATGGCAAGATAAGAAAAAAAGGAACTAGAAGAACAAAGAAGATTGGAGAAGATCAAGGAAAAGCGAGGACAAGGCAAAGAAACAAAAGACAAGAACAGAGAAGAGCAGTGAAAACAAGATAAGAAGAGAAGGGAAGAGAAGATTGGAGAAGAAAAATGAAAAGCAAAGACGAGTCAAACAAAAAAAAACTAAGAAGATCAGAGAAGAACAGCGGTGACAAGATAAGAGAGGAAACGTGAAGAACAAATAAAAACGAAGACAAGCCCAAACACCAATCGAACAAAGAAGAACAGAGAAGAACAGAGATGACAAGATAAGAACGAACAGAGAAGAACAAAGAAGGTCGGAAAAGACAAGCCAAAACAAAGGAGAAAGAACAGAGAAGCACAAAGATGACAAGATAAGAAGAGAAAAGAGAAGAACAAAGAAGAGTGGAGAAGAAACTTAAGAAAGCGAAGACAAGCCAGAAAAAGAAAAGAAAAGAACAGAGAAAAACCGAGAAGAACAGAGGTGATAAGAACAAAATAGTGAAGAACAAAGAAGATTGGAGAAGTAAGCGAAAATAGGCATGACGAGCCAAAACAACGCAAGAACAGAAAGAAGAAAGAAGACAAGATGTGAATAGACAAGAAACGAAAATAGTGAGGACAAGCCAACACAAGAGAGAAAAAGGAACAGAGAAGAAAGGGAAGAACAGAGATGACAAGTTAAGAAAAGAAAATAGTAGAACAAAGAAGACTGGAAATGAAGGCATCACAAAAAAAAAAGAAGAAAAGAAAAGGACAGTGAAGACAAGATAAGAAAGAGAAGTGAAGAGAAGAGAAGTTCGGAGAAGGAAAGACGAAAGGGAAGAAGAGCCAAAAAGGCAAACAGCACTGAGAAGAACACAGAGAAACAGAGAAGACAAGACAAGAAAAGAAAAATCGAAGAACAGAGAAGGTTGGAGAAGCAAAAGGAAAAAGCGAAGACAAGCCAACGAAAAACAGAGAAGAACAGAGATGACGAAATACGAAAAGAAAACAGACGAAAGAAAAGGTAACTAATGAGAGAGATAGCAGTCAAGACAAGCCAGAAAAACGAAAACAAACCCCCAAAAATGAAAGAACAGAGAAGCACAGAGATGACAAAATCCGCCGACCCGCTCCTGAAAGGGGGAAGGGTG